GTCTACATTTTTTGTGTAAATTCAAGGTATTCAAGCATGTTTTTGTTACATGTATATATTGCCTTGTAGTTAAGTAAAACCATCATCTGAAAAATGTACATTGTACTCATTAAATAATTTCCCATCCATCATCCCCACCCCCATGCCTTCAGTGCTTTCAAGGTCTGTATTTCACTCTTTATGCCCATTTGTACCTGCTATTTATCTTCCACTTACATATGAGAACACGTTGTATATGATTTTCTGTTTATGTTTATTTCACTTATGAAATAAGTTCTATTCCTGTCGCTGCAAAAGACATGATTTGCTTTTTTGGGTTGTGGACTATTTCCCAGGGTATGTGCCTGTTTGTGTGTGTTATTGTGTATGTGTGTGTGTGTGTATATATATATAAACACACATACATATGGTATATGTGCAAATATATATATATGCATAATATATTTTTATTCAAACATTTTTATTCAAGCATTTGTTAATGGACACTTAGATTGTTTCCATATCTCTGAGGCTGTGCATAATGCAATAGAAAATGTAAAAGTGAGTGTTTCTTTTTTGATATAATTTTTTTCATTTGTGTAGACACCTAGTAGTGTGATTGCTGGATTAAATGATAGTACTGCTTTTATTTTTCAAAAATATCCAAACTGTTTCCCATAGAAGTCGTACCAATTTACATTTTCACCAACAGTGTATAATGTTCTGTTTTCTCCACATGCTTGTGATAGGTGTAAGTTGGCATCTCATTGTAATTTTCATTTGCATTTATTTGATAATTAGTAATTTTGAGTATTTTATATGCTTTTTTAAAAATAATGTTTGAAATGGAATGCTGAAATGCTTTGAAACCTGAGCCCCAGGGCTCAACAGAGTGGCTGGATATCTTCAAATCTCCGCCAACAGAGAAAATGAAGTTGGTCTGCTGTTACCTAGCACCTGAATTAGCAATATTTGCAATATTAAAACACAGGCCAATGGTTTATGAGAAGAGGTAGTGGTGATGAGCATATATTCAAGAGCAGTGCTGAAAACTTCTTTTTCATGATATTCGTATTTCATGATTCTATTCATTTTGTGATCAATCTGCATAATTAAAATATACTTAGTTTTCTTCATATATAGTAAAATTAGATAGCAAGATGTGTTTTAGAATTAAAGCATGAATGGAAGCATGGTTTCACTAAAAAGTAATGAAAAGTGCATTAGCAGAAGGTGAATACAAATAAACTATTTTAAAGTCAAGCAATATAATCTGCTTAGCTGAAAATAATTCAACAAAATATGTACAAGAAAATAGATTATTTCCTCAAATGTTTTACTGACTGAAATAAGTTTTTAATAAGGTAGTTGAAACATTCAAAGTCGTACCATTTCTTTTTCATCATCTATATAAAGCAGACTGGAGTTCATAAAAGCACAGGCCATCATACTCTCCTCCCATGTTTTTGTTTCCTTTGCAATGTAATAACAGCTGTTGGAATATGTAAACCATTTCTCTGGACAACTACAATTATATGCTGAGGAAACATTGTAAATTACCCAGAAACAATATGAATACTTTAAAATGACACTTACAGTGTAAATTTACAAAAGTATGTCATGTATGTACATAACATATCTAGGTATTCTCATAGGATGGTACGTATGATTAAAAACCCACTGATTCACACACATACACACTGTAAAGCAGCAGACTTTTGTCCTCTAATTGTGTTCACACGTGAAACAAGCCAGCAGACTAACGGTCACATTACACACATCTTTAAATCAGTGAACAGACATACTTTATTATAACAGTAAAATTATTTATCTCATGATTTTATAGCAATAGGAAGTTGCAAGAGATACAAAAAAAGGTATAGTGTTTATGAATTAGTATTTATATTCATTGCTAAGAAAAAGAAAATAAGCACTTATATTCTTTATTTACAGACCTCTATTGCTAAATTTTATAATTTTTCTCCCGTATATATCTCTGGTTATTTTTTCATTTCAAAAGAACAATACAAAATTAAAACTCTGTTATTATCAGAACTTTGGAAATCATTACGTATCTTTCTGGTTGCTTTCATTTTGGAAAGAATTGGTCTGCTTCTGTGTTGCTGTAGCTAGAAGATTTAAAATAATCTCTTACAAAATTAGTATATGAATAAGTCATAAGAATGTTAGTTTCTTTGTAATTTGGTTTATTGTTCAGATATAGAAAAATATAGAACTGTATGACAGAAAATATATAAAGTAATTGAGATTTTGAAAAAAATATTTCAATAGTGGAAAGAACCAAATTCAATATCTCATACAGTACTTGATTTAACCAACTTTCAAAAATTAATTTCTATTTCTCAGTAAGGCTATTCAATTTGTAAAACATCGTTTTGGAGTTTGAAATCAGAATATATACATCTAATTTAAAGCAAATACTTTTTTATAATTATTCTTTCGTTTATGCTTTTTTACAAATTCAGAACAATTATTCCACATTTAGTTAAAAAGCAAATGTAAAATTAAGAATTCTATTCCACCAATATTCTAAAATATTTAGAGGCATTTCTATTCATTTAGGTGAAAAACTCTCCTTTATTTTTCCAAAATATACTTACAAAGAATAATAACTATAGTTACCATGGTCACTATTAATGCCAAACAGATAATCCCCAGGATGCCAGCAATGAGCTTCTCTGGAGGTGGTGATAAATCTGTAGACAGAGAAATAAAAACACAGAGAAAAGAGAGATGGACATAGCTATTTAGAAGATTCGCAGACAAGAGAGCCCACATGCATAAGAATCATATAGATAAACCTGGATCCCAAACTGCATAACCCACAATAATGTTTTTCTTCGAGTGTATGTACCATTACATTTTGAGTAAATATAATGGTCTGTGATTTGCTGGAAAAAAAACTACAAAATTACTTGATAGTTATGATACTTACAGGTCACGTAAATAATATTGACTAACAAGTCCAAATGTGTGTGAATGCAATTAACTACTTTCCACAGACAATAATTTGAACACTTTAAGAAATTCTCCAACATATTTCACATTCCAGGGTTCTATCCTGACTTATTCAAATAAAGATATCAAATTTACTATCTGATTTTATTGTGTGTGAATTGCACCTCCATTACATCAAATCTAATGTTTGCAACCTCCCACTAAATGAGGTAGGCTAGTAGAGAGATGGAAAGTTACTGCACGTACCTTCTGTCCCAGAATGTCACAAATCCTTTAGTGGAAAGACTGGTATAAAAGGTGAAACTTAAAGGTATATATCCAGAACAAGTAGAAACAATGTCTGTGATCTTCACAGACTGCCCTGTGAAGGCTCAGAATAAGGTAAGAATGGAAAAAGTTGATTTTTCATCAATCTGTCACTGAAGGTTTGAAGAGGAAATTCTCATGCATGGGCTATTTTGAAATACATTTTTCTCATTATACACCTCCAAACTACAGGAGATTTGAGCTCTTATTAAATGAACTAAATAGACTTTGAACATGTGTCATTAACTTGTTCATTTTCATGTGCCTCTGAGAAACTGTTTATATATTTTATAAGCCATGGTGTGTAGAGAGTTACTACATATATAAACATTTTTCGATTTCAATCACAAATATTGCCAACTTAAGACTTGTTAAGAGTGTCTCAGCAGTTTAAAAACCAATTTTAGATGACAGTGCTACATTTTAAACATTGCATACATCTTTCCTTCCTATCCTTATTATGTCACTCTATTATAATAGAATAAATTATGAAACTTATGATAACATTATCAACAAGTACTTACTGATATTAGTCACTAATTATTATGAGAAATTACTACAGATCCAACTTACTGTAGCTGGCAGAAACACCATCATCGACAAAGTTATATTCTTCTTTTTTTTTTTTTTGAGTTGGAGTCTCACTTTGTCGCCCAGACTGGAGTGCAGTGGCCGCTCCCGGCCACCGCAACCTCGATCTGCTGGGCTCCGGCGATCCTTCCGCCTCAGCCTTCCAAGTAGCCGGAATTACAGGAATGTGCTACCACGCCCGGCTGATTTTTTTACTTATTGTAGAGATGAGGTCTCGCTGCCCAGGTGGGTCTCGAACCCGCGAACTCAGGCAATCCACTCACCTCAGCTTCCCAAAGGCGCAGGATTACAGGCTGAGCCACCGAGCCCGGCTTTTATTCTTGATTTATCTGCAATAGTTCTTAAATTCCTGCATTTGATTTTATTTTTTAAACAAATTATTTAATCTTTAGATTCACCTTGTTAAAAATAAATGTATCTGGAGAGTATTAAATATTAATGAATTGTTAAATAGATCAGCATGCCCGATATTAACACACAACAAAATTTTTTTCAGACTCTTGCAATCATATTACTTCCATTTAATGCAATATAAAATTACTCCAAACTCAAGTGCTTTAATACTAAAGTGAATGCTTACAACTATATTTTTCTGAAGTTCCATACCTACATGGCTCAAGTGCTTCTGAGTATAGTTATGCTGACCAGGATCTGCTTCTCCTACCTAGTAATGAATAAAAATCAATAATTCTGTCATATTTTGGAGGCTTATTGCATGAAACGAGCAGTTTTCTATATAAGAATGAATACTATGAAACCAGATAATGGCATTTTTCATAAGATATTGCAAAGAGTTGATTATAATGAAAACTGAATACAGTAGTTTCCTCTTATCCTGGTGGGAGACTTTGACCCCAGTAGAAGCCTGAAACCCCAGATAGTACAAATCCTTGTATAAACTATGTTTTCCCTATACATACAAACCTACAATAACGTTTAACTTATAAATTTTGCTTACACAAGAGATAAACAATAACCATAATATAAAATAATAATTATAACAATATGCCAACATCACTACTCTTGCATTTGGGCCCATTAGTAAGTAGACTAAACATGCCCTAAACACAAGCGTCACCTTGGCAAGACATTCCATCTGATAACTGAGATAGCTACTAAGTGTCTAATAGACAATCGCTTAGACAGTGTGAATAGTCTGGCAAAGCAATGATTCATGTCCCAGGTGGGACAGATGCTTACTCCAAAAAGTTGCCCATACTACTCAGAATGTTACATAATTTAAAAATCATTAATTGTTTCTAAAATTGTTTTGATATTTTTTTGGCTGTGGTTGATCCTGAGTAACTGAAATCACAGAAAATAAAACTGGACATAAGGAGGGACTACTATAGTACGTTCCTTAATATTAATGTCAAATTTTACTAACTTTAAATCTTTTCTTTGCCTGTAATTCATCTTACACTTTTTATATTATTCTTTAAATTAATCATTTTATGTTTTTTCTTCTCCTTACACCATTAAAATATTTTACTTATGTTTGAAAATTGAATCATTTCTTGACAATTAAAGATGATCAGAGCTGCTATGACAGACTCCAATCCATACTGTCAGTTGCTGGAAGTCCAGAAGTGTCTAACAGAATAAATAGTAGTCATGCAGATAATAATTTAGGCCTCAAGCTGCCACTGCCCGTGGAGCCCCCTTGGCTACGCCTCTCGGAGCTCCGGGCCTCCCTCCCTGGCTGAAGCGCCCCACCTGGCACCAAGTACCACCACCCACAAAGGCCCTAAGCTCCTGCCCCTCTAAATTCTGGGTCACCTCCCTGACTAAAGCACCCCTGTCTGCCCCAAGTTACAGCTCCTCAAGGAGCTTTGGCCTCCCTCCCTGGCTGCAGCACCCAGCCCCACCCATCTCCACCACCCAGGGAGGCCTGCAGCTCCTTCACCCTGGAGCCCTGGGCTCCCTTGTTGGCTGTACCACCCCATCCCCAGTCACCCTGGGCACTATGCTGATCAGCAATGGCCAGTAGTCTCCAACTCCGCCTCCCTGGACGACCCTGACCACAACAGGACCAGAGAACAGCTGGAGCACTCAGACCAGGCAGAGACCTGCATTGCCCCTTGAGCTCTACCCAGCTCTGTGTAGCCTCCAGCTTGGAACCTAAGAACAAAGAAAGAAAAAGAGGCCCAAGCTGCGTGTGACAAGCCGACCCACAGCTCCCAGCTATCTGACGCTCTGCCTGCCCCAGCTGAACCTGGCTGTAGTAGCATCATCTGGAGCCCTGTGACCAGGCAGAGACCTGCAGTTCCTTGCCCACACAGCTTTGCCCAGCCTTGAACTTGGATCTAAGACCTCATGTTCCTGTAAGGGAATAGTACATCATAAGGAGTTTGGTCAGTTTGTGTATCTGTACGATTGTATGTCCTAGTTTGTTGCTATTGTCGCTGCTGTTTTGGTTTTTTTTTGTTTGCTTGATTGTTTATTTGTGTTTGTTTTTATGTTCTCTTACTCTTTCTTACCTGTCTTCAGGACTATTTTCATTTATTAGTGGGTACCTTTGTCTTTTTCCTCTTACTCTTCTCTGTCTCCACCTTCCACTCCCCTCCATCCCCCAGCTCCACTTCTTTCCCTTTTCTTAGGTCATTTTACTTTCAGGGAGCAAATCAATACTCGAACAGATTGCAAGGCAGTGGGAAGCGGGTTCCACCTGTCAGTGGATACTGTGATCTGCAAATACTTTTTGAATAACAGTTCCCCCATCAAATAGAACTCAAAACTGCAAAAGGTATAGCCCCCAAACTACATTCCAGCTTCAGAATCGAATAAAACCAGAAGATTCACACAAGGAAGAATAGGAGATTGAGGCAACAGAAGTAAAAGCAACCCCACCACCCCTGAACAACAGATTTAAAGAAGACGGAGGAAAAAGTGGGAGGAAAATCTACACAAATGTAGAAAAACCGAAAGAAGAATATAGGTCTCACACAGACCACTGGGAGATTAGATAATGAGGAAACAGAGTTCAGAATGCAAACAATGAAGAGCCCCCAGAATGGTCACAGACTACAAACCCAGACATCAAGACAGTAATAGAGAGAATAAAAAGAACTGAGGAGAGACAAGAGAAAAATAGGAAGGAGTTGATAACTGAGATAACTAATAAAGAATACTGTGATTGAAATAAACTAATAAGCGTGGAAAGCAGAATTAGCCAAGTGGAAGAAAGAATCTCAGAACTTGAAGACAAAATATAGAACTAAACTCAATTGTCAACAACATAGAAAAGAAGCTTAAAGACAGACAAAACCGTCAAGAGATGAGTGATTACTTCAAGAGAAGGAACCTAAGAGTAATTAGGCTTCCTGAGACAGAAAGAGAGACAGACCACCCTGGAATAAACATTCCATGTTATTTTTCACAAAAACTTCCCTCACCTCACCAGAGATGCTAAAATTCAAGCACAAGAGATTCAGAGAACCCCAGCAAGACAACAGATGAGAAGACCAACTCCCAGGCACATAATGAATTGCCAGAACAAAGCAGGTATAAAAGAACAAATCCTAAAAGCAACAAGAGAAAAAGGTCAGACTACCTACCAGGGGAGACCAAGTTCAATAACAGCATATTTATCTACAAAAACACTTCAGGCTAGGAGAGCGTGGAGTACAATATTCAAAGTTCTCAAAGATAAACAATTTCAACAAAGGGGGCCTGTGTAGGACTTGCTGCAGCAGCCACCTTTTCTGGAGGCAGTTGCAGTGGCGGCAGCACATTGCATGGGTCTGGCTGCAGCAGACAACCCCTGCGGAGACGGCAGAGGTGTGGTGCATGGGACCAGCTACAGCAGCCATTCTCTGGGGAGACTCTCACAGACTAACTTGTCCCATCACCTTCTTGTTGGAAATCTAGAAATCAGTTTATTATTTTTCCTCTTGCATCAAGTATAAATAGAATGTCTGATCTTTTGTAATTTCAAAGCAGATTCCATGCTACCTCTTAAAGATTGAATCTAAAATCTAGAAAAATAAAATTTAAATCTCTATTTGTTTCCTTGGGATCAGAACAATTACTTGGGCCTTCTAAGAGAATGGCTAATATAGGCTAAGTATATAAATATTTCTGTTAATTATATTTTAATATATTTGTGTGTACTAAATTAGTAGTCTGATACTTACATATGCTTATGTACATATGTGTATTTCCATTAGAAATGAATTTATTTATATGTACATACGTATTACAATTTTGTAAATTACATTGATATCTTTTCTATTAGTCAAAATATAACAACAAAATTATTAATTAACAGTGCCAAATATTGTAACACTCACTAATGTTCTCTTTTTAAAATTGACATACTAACATCTACCATTCTTTTATGAACATCCACATAGTATTTTTTTTTTTTTTTGAGTTGGAGTCTCACTCTGTCACCCATACTGGATGGAGTGCAGTGGCCGCTCCCGGCCACCGCAGCCGCGACCTGCTGGGCTCCGGCGATCGTTCCGCCTCAGTCTTCCAAGTAGCTGGAACTACAGGCCCGTACTATCACACGCGGCTAAGTTTTTGATTTATTGTAGAGATGAGGTATCGCCAAGTTGCCCAGGCGCGTCTCGAATCCGCGGATTCAGTCAATCCACTCACCTCAGCCTCCCAAAGCGCTGGGAATTACAGGCTGAGCCACCGAACCCAGCTCACATAGTATTTTTCAATTAAATAACGTAACAGTTATGTTTTGCTTAATGATGGGGTTACGTTCTAAGAAATGCAAGATTTGACTTTTTTTTTCATTTTGTGAACTACATAGAGAGCACTTACACAAACCTGGAGGATATAGCTACTATACACCTATGCTATATAGGGTAGTCAATGGCTTCTAGGTTACAAACCTGTACAGATGGCTAGTCTATTGAATATTGTAGCAATTATAAAACAATGGCAAGAATTTGTATATCCAAACATAGAAAAGATTCTGTTGAAACACTGTATAAAAGTTAAAAAACGGTATACTCTACAGGTCACTTAACACGAAGGAACCTTGTAGGACAGGAAGTTGGAAGTTACTCTGGGTGTCAGTAAGTGAGTGTTGAGTGACTTTAGAGTCTAGGGCATTACTTCACACTACAGGCAATTGCATAAATATTGTGCACTATGGCTACAATATAGCCATAAATATATTTTTTTTCTTCAATAATATATTAGTGTTCGCTTACTGTCACTTTTTTCTTTGTAAACTTTATATATAAGTCATTGACTCGTAATAATACATCTTAAAACATAAATACATTGTACAACAATACAAATAACCTTCTCTTAATATCCTTATTCTATAAACTTTTTTGTATTTGAAATTTTTTTTGTTTGTTTTTAGTGCAAGCTATTTCAATCTCTATGAAAAAGCAGTGTGTTGATTTCTAATAGAACTAAAAATCGACTATCCTTACGATCCAGCAATCCACATTCTGGGGATATATCCCGAGGAATACAAATTATTCTGCAAGAAAATTTTAAAAAATACCCCTGTATACATATGGTTTTTTTTTCCCCCACCCTATTCACAATGGCAAAACATGGAAACAATTTTACTGCCCATTGAAAATAGACTGGATAAAGAAAATTTGGTACATATACACGGATTCCAAATTTGACCAGGGAACTTGGCTAGACCTTGTGTAGACAATAGATCAAGAATTAGCCAGGAGTGGTAGCGCACACCTGTAGTTCCTACTGCTTGGAAGGCTGAGGCTGAAGGATCGCTGGAGCCCAGCAGGTCGAGGCTACGGTAGCCAGAGCGTGCCATTGCACTCTTCCAGTCGGGGCGACACAGTGACTCCAACTCAAAAAATAAAAATAAAAAAATAAAAAGGCTGAAATGCTTTGAAACCTATGACCAGAGATCATCAGAGTGGCTGGACATCCTCAAATCCCTGCCAACAGAGAAAATGAAGCAGGTTTGCTGTTTCCTAGCAACTGATCTAGCAATATTTGTAATATTAAAACAGGCCAAAGGTTTGGGGAGGAGGCAGCAGTGATGGGGACACACACAGAAGCAGGACTGTTGTTGGTACTAGAAACATCTGTTTTATGATTTGTGTATTGCACGAATTCATTCATTTTGTGATCAACCTGCACATCCAGTAGAATTAAATCGCAAAATTTGTTTTAGAATCAAAGCATTTATGGTTGCATGCTTTCAATGAAAAGAAGTAAGGAAATGTGCATTAGCAGAAGTGTATACAAATAAACTATTTTAAAGTCAAACAATAAAATTTTCTTAGTTGAAAATATTTCAACAAAATATGTACATGAAAATAAATTATTTCTACAAATATATTTCTGGGCTGGGCTCGGTGGCTCAACCTGTGATCAAAGCACTTTGGAAGGCTGAGGTGAGTGGATTGCCTGAGCCCGAGGGTTCGGGACTTGCCTAGACAACTTGGCAAGACCTCATCTCTACAATAAATCAAAAAATTAGGCGGGCGTGGCAGCGCATGCCTGAAGTTCCGGGTACTTGGAAGGCTGAGCCAGAAGGATCGCTGTAGCTGTGCAGGTTAAGGCTGCAGTGGCCAGTAGTGGCCACCGC